GTGCGCGGTTGGTCGTGAATCGTGGCGGTGCGCTCGGTATGTTTCAGACGTCGCGTGGTGCATTGTGAATAGGCGTGACTCGTCTGGGTGCTTATCTGAACTTCGGGCGTTGTTGAAACGAAAACACGGACACCGTGGTGCGCCAGTTTACCGGGGAGTATTTCAAGCATAATAAACTCCGCGTCCCGAAATGTTACTGGCCTTTGATCTGAGTTCGAATTCGAAATGCCCAAAAAATTTCTGGGCGGGGGAATATATATATCGCGTTGCGTGCATATTTGCCCTCTTTGCTGACACAGTCTTCTGATATTTGAGAGGCGATGTGTGCCAGTACGATGTTTAAGCTATAGAATATTATAAAGCCATGCACGCTGACACACAACATACATGTATCTAGGCTATAATTGCCACCACCATGTATTTATTATGCTTAAAGTGCAAGCGTTACAAGGGCGCGTACATCGCAAACTTAGGCCATAACTGAGAACAAGATCGGTTTTTCCTCCCATTTTGTTACTAGCTATCTTAATCTGCGCATGCCATCAAATTGATTCAATGCATCGCAGAATGTCCAGTTTGAATTTACAATCAGATGCGATTAAAATATAGCTGTAGGATGTCAAGCCGTCATTATTAATAGGCAGGGAAATGCAATGAAGGGGGGAGGGGCCAAAATGGCCACAGCCGCCAGTGTCATGTTGTGCCGCTACTCCAATCGTTCGGCACGCATTCGCTGCACGTTCGAGAATTGGCTGCCGTTGAGATCGTGTGTACGTAGCGTGGGCAATGATCTGCGATCGTAGCTTGGAATTTTAGGCGGTAATGATTTGCGTGAGTTGAAATGGAGCCAAGCGAGATGAGATTTCAATCTGAGGGAATTTTTTTGTTCACAAACAAGCACGCATTGGTGTTTCAAATTGGGCCGCCAACGCCGCCGCTATTAATGCCGCATAGGATTAGCTATAGTTTTCATGGTGAATTCTCTGCGGATGCCAACTACTACTGCGCCGTACAAAAGGCAATGCCCCCGCGGTGCTGTCTTTGTTTGGTGTGTGTGTGTGTGTGCTGGCGTGCGCTGCGTGCGTGCGTGCGTGCAGTGCGCTGGCCGCGTGCGTGTCGCGCGCGCGCGCTGCGGTGGTGCTGTGTGTGCGCGCGCGCGTGCCGTGCGTGATTGCTAGTGTGTGTGCAACGCGCCCTCGCCTGCGCGTGAGCGTTGCGTGCGTGCGTGCCGTGCGCAGCGCGTTGTGTTGCTATCTCAGTATCTTCAGCCTCTCCGTGTGAAGATTCCTAAGGCGGTATTCTAACGTCTCCTAATGCCCTTGAAGATAAGCCGGAGCTAGCCCGGTCATCGGCACATGACATCGAGAAGGATGATCGTATTATCAGGAAAGATTGCGGATTCGACAGCGTATATAGGTAGATAGGTTCGGCAATCATGTGAGCGAGCGTCTGCGCCTGCGCAGCTAACGCGCGTGCGCACGCAGACGCACGTGATGCGAGTCACGTGACCTCGCGTCGGTCTCACGGTGGTCCTGCGCGCCGCGGGCTGTTGTCGGTCGAAGGTGTGACGGTGATGCCCCCTGCTGGCCGAGCGGATTGAACCTTCGCATACACTGCTTCGCCCACGCAGGCACGTGCACATGCGCGCTCATGCACGCACGCACGCACGCACGCACGCACGCACACACGTGCACACACACACGCACGCACGCACGTCACGTAAGTACACAACACACACACGCACACACACACGCACGCACGCACACACACCGCCACGCACCGCACCGCGCGGCACCATACTCGTAGCGTATCGCTCGATGGTGTGTGTACTTTAGCGGAATGCCGCAAAGCGGTTGCCCATTTGATGCCATCGAGTTTTCAATGCGTTTTAAATAGTTTCTTCATTTTTTCTCGAAATCTGTCTCGCCTTTTTTTCGTATTATTCTTTCCCGAATACATGCGAGCCACCCCTCCCACTCCCTTTCTCGGTGGGTTTCCATCTTGGGTATATAAGTGCGTAGCTAGCACGGGCAGGGGGAAATCAGGTGTTTGCTAGGGCCGTAATTGTAAATATAATAATACTATTAATAATCATATAACTATAAATTGTGGTTTGGTGATAGGGTTGAGAATCGAGATTTATATGAGCCGGACCGTGCCTGACAGCACTATGTAGCGTTTAGTAAAGTTTTCTCCTGTGCCCAATTCTGAGCTATTCCGCCACTTCTGATTTTTTACCAGGGTGCGACTTTCTATATGTTGATGTTTTGAGACACTTCGCTCTCGAAATAGCGCGCGTTTCGGTGCCACCCTAATTCTCGCCTACCAACCCCTCGCCCCGACCATCACCCCGACCCCAGTTATTTGCGAGTGCCAGAGAAGCGAGCGGTGTACAAAGTAAACACGGGGGAGAGGGCGTCTCGGGCGGATTGAAGCTACGTGCCGCCGACGGATGGACGGGTGTGTGTATAAACAGCGCGGGCGTCGGCGTTTCCTGCCGAGCGACTGCTCGCCGAGCCCTGGTCGGCTTTTCGTGCTGAGAGTTGAACAAACGGACAAGCCAGCGTTAACGATGCGTGGGCGGGGGCGGCAGACGCGTGCTGCTTTAAACAGGCGCTATTTTTACTTCGATGCAGCCTGCAAGGAAGCGACAAAGTGGCCGGGGATTGCTGCAGCAGCACCAGCTGCTGCATCGGCGTCATCAGCAGCAGCAGGGGCTGCTGTGGCCCTGCTGCTGTCTGTCTGTCTCTGTTTCTCTCTCTCTCTCTCTCTCTTTCTGTCTCTCTCTTCTCTCTCTCCCTCTCTCCCCTGCTCTCCCTCTCTCCCTCTCTCCCTCTCTCCTTCTCCCTCTCTCTCTCTCACACGCACACACGCACACACGCACACGCACACCGCACACGCACGCACGCACACGCACACGCACACGCACACGCACACCCCCCCCCCCCCCCCCCCCCCCCCCCCCCCCCCCTCGCACAAGTCCACATTTCACACACACACACACACACACACACACACACACACACACACACACACACACACACACACACACACACACACACACACACACACCCACTGACACGGTGTGGGCCTGACTATACGGAAATCCTCGTCGGTGTCTATGCTAGGCTAGCTAGAGAGTTACGCTGATACGTCCTCGCTGGAGATATCTGCCTGGAGTATTATGGAATTGCTAGATGTAGGTCAGTGCACGTTGCAGGATGGTGGCCGCGTGGCCTCGCACCGGCAGTGACGTCACAGCCGGGATTTCCTTTCATGCGGCTGCTGCGCGCACACGTGGTAATCGAAGAATACTATAGCAAGATAGATTCGTTGATCCCGTTTGAGATATGGGGGGGGGGGTGACAGATTTGATGATAAGTGGGAAATTTCGTTGATAATGAGATGTTGAGGGGGGAGAAAGATATTTCTGGGGCAGTATGACAGATTTGAGTGGGTGAAGTGAGAGATTTTGAGGGGTTGATATAATATTTTTCTATGGTGGTATGACAGATTTGAGTGGGTTACGTGAAAGATTTCCCGTGTAAGATGAGAAATTTCGGGGGGTTGAAATAAGATTTTTTCTATGGTGGTATGACGTACAGAATTTAACATTTTAGTGAGAGATTTTGCCCGTAATGTCAGATATTTCGGAGTTGAAATGAGATTTCTCATGGGGCAGTATGACAGATTTGAGTGGGTGAAGCGAGAGTTTTCCCGGGTAAAATGAGAGATTTCGCGGGGGTTGAAATAATAATTTTTATAGTGGTAGGACAGATTTGAGTGGGTTTGGAGTTTGAGTGTGAGATCTCCCGGTTACGATGAGAGATTAGGGTTGGTGTGAATTAAGGTTGGTTTAAGAGAGAATGAGATGATATGATAATATGATATGATATGAGATGAGATAAGATGATATATCAGTGGGGTGTGTTACATCAGCAGGTATCTCGCAAAATTAAAGCATCTCTTAAATTCCCGTGTTGGTATCGTTGTATTTTTCTCATTTGCTCATGGCTATTAACCCTCGTTAAATACGTCACACGAGCATCATACGTCATACGTGCCCCACAGCACTCTCCCAGGTAGATTCGATATATGAATATTTCCGCAGGGGAAAGCCAGCAATCGATTCCTGTATCATGTAGCCGCTGATCATAAGCCTCTAGGTATTTATCATGCAGAGCCGCTATGTCGGACATGCGTCATTGTGCAAAATTGTAATTATGGCTGCAAGTTTTGCAGTCGTCGATAGCTCGCTGGCCTGGCTGTGCCTACATTCCTCACCGCTTGCTGTCTACAGTTGGCTGCATCGGGAAAAACTCATTAAGAAAAGTGCTCAGTACGCACGTACGTGCAGTTGTGCACAGACACACGTAGACAAACGTCACTGTAATGGCGTACATGTAAAGAAAATGTGGAATCGTGGTGTATATAGACAGACGACTGAGTTTCGCACCACCTCAGAACGTGTCCTTTAAGCTGGGTTTGCAGGAACAAACTCTGGCAATATTTATGAATATTGAAACTGCGCTTCGTTCTCCCTGCTCATGAATTGAATTGAATGGCTGTGTAAAATCAGTTTTGTATAATCATGTAATTCACACATTGTGTGCTTGTGTCACATAAAACTCGCATATAAAGCTCACAGGTCACTCAATACGCCTACAAATGGCCGTAATCTAGTCATAAGTTACTTATATTTCACCTAAACCTACTATACCCTACAACTCGCCAACACATTACATGTACATTGCTGATCATCTCTCGCCTATACTTCAGCCATATCTTACCAAACTCTTGAATATCTATATCCACAACCCACATATAAGTGTCCTAATACTCGCGTGTTTAGTATCTCGCTACTCACATATCTAGATTCCTACTACTTACACATTTAGTGTCCCACTACTACTCACATGTGACTCATGACTGATGTCACGTACGTCTAATGTTCGCCTACAACCCTGGTCTAACTCACTTTTAACTTTGGCTGCTTGCAGATCCAGCAGTGCCAGGTGTGTGGCAAGCAGTTCAGCAACTCGAGTGCCCTGGCCAAGCACAAGCTGACGCACAGCAATGAGCGCAAGTATCTCTGCAACATCTGCCCGAAGGCCTTCAAGAGGCAGGACCACCTGTAAGTATGCCGACGAACTACGACCTTGCGCGACGATGCTGCGCGCAGCTAGTTAGTTAGCTAGCTAGTTAGTGCACTGCTGCGGCGGCGGCGGCGGCGGCGGCGGCGGCGGCGACCCCGCCCATCCACACACGGTCTTGTCTCATTTTACTGCGTTCGAACATTTGAACTGCAACAGTCGGGCTAGAGTAACAGGGAGAGAAACAGCAAGGTTACAGTGGCGAGGAGTGACTAGCCTGGTTATAGTAACTGGAAGGAAAACAGCAAGTCAGAGTAACAGGGAGGGAAGTCTCATGCTAGAGTAACAGGGAGGGAAGTCGTGCTAGAGTAACAGGGAGGGAAACAGCAAGGTTACAGTGGCGAGGAGTGACTAGCCTGGTTAGAGAAACAGGTAGAGAAGCAGCAAGGTTTGGTTAACAGAGAGGGACTAGCTAGGTTAGAGAAACAGGTAGAGAAGCAGCAAGGTTTGGTTAACAGAGAGGGACTAGTCAGGTTAGCATAACAACGAGGAAATAGCTAGGTAAGAGCAGGCACCCACAAGGATACCGAGACTGCACCGCGAGTGACAACCTTTGGTTCTTCAGTAACACTGCCAATCCTTCAGTTACTCGTGCAGCTGCCAGGGTGCCTACGTACCTATGGGGAAGGCACCTTCCTCTAAGTTGGTCAGTTCTGATAATGAAATACTGTCATGAAATAAGACCGCGTTCGAGACATGTTCAAGAGGGAAAGAACTCCCGGGAGCTCATGCGGGAGATATTGGGCCAAAGTTGCCGTGGTTCCGACTAATATCATGTTGGGGCAAAACCAGTTTGTTTTTTCAGCTATTCTCATTTTTTTATTACTCGATTTGAAACGAACACGAAATGTACATTTGCTGGCATGCCTGTCGGTTCGGTGACCCTTTACTTCTCAAACAGGGTTGTAAACGCGAATCACTTCACCTTTAAATTGACTGCGTCACGAATTTTCTATGGTGTACATTTGTAAAAATTTTGTTCCCATTTTTTTACATTAAAAGTAAGTACTAATGGGACCAAATGCATCGTCAAATTCTTACCTGATAAGATTGTTTCTCAACTAGTTAAAAATCCAAAAAACTTGGACGATTTGATATTATGATCCTGACATTAATTGCTTGCTATGGGCTATGTATGAGTCACGAGTGTATGTTTACATCGAAACAATATAGTAAAATAAGAAGTATAATGCAACAATTTAACCATAAAAAGTGAACAGAATTACTTACATTTTGTGATTTTTTTTTACTTTAACTATTTACGGTGACGTAATCACTTTAAGAAGTAGTGACAAAGTGGTGCAGCTAGTGGTGCCGGGAGGTCGGCTCGGCGTTGAGGACGCACGTCCGCAAACGATGTGACGTTGCGTTGCCAAGGCAACGCCTCCTCGTCATCGTCGGCGGGAGTGCGGCGCTGCAAGTCGGATGTCGGAGAGCGCACCTGTGTATGAGTTTGCAGTTTGCCGGTGTCAACTCCCCCCACCCATAATATCCACCCAACGCACCCACCCACCCACGCCTGTCTTGCCTGTATTGAGTATCAGTTACATCACATGCTGCGACCGCGTGGGAGTGCACGCCGAACGTGAGCTGCCTGGAGGGTAATCGTCGTTCTCTTGTTGCCATAGCAACGGGCATCTGCTGACGCATCGCTCGCAGAAGCCGTTCCAGTGCCACTTTGAGGGCTGCAACAAGAGCTACTGTGACAACAGGTCGCTGCGGCGACATCTGGAGAACCACCACCACCAGACGCTCAACGAGACGGGGATTCCGATCCAGCCATCACAGGTAGCGCCCTCTACCAACCCACCCCCATCGCGCGCGATTTCACACTCTTTGTTGACGTAAGAGAATAGATCGGAATCGCGTTAGTGTGAACGATGCGATGTCCCGCTTATTATTTAATCATGGTTTTCGTCTTTTAGCTCGATTTTATAGCTCGATCACCATCCGATCGTGTGATAAACTGGTCAAACAAGCACGGGTTAGTGGCAGTGGATCTGCGTCACGTTTTTCCTCATGGCCACCCACCCATTTCTAATCGTCCTACGAGATACTAGCAATGTAATTAGTCTTACCATGTTTAGTTTGTCATTATCTACGTTTGTGTGTTGAATGAATAAAATCGAGATCACATGAACTATGTAGTTTATGTGTCTATGCAGTAATAGTATATATGTAGTACGTGTGTTCGTGATAACATTGTAGCAACATGTGTGTAAGCAAATGACCACAGTGCAGGTGAACTTTGCTTGACGCACATATTTTTTCCCCTTTCTGCCTAAAGGGACAAAAATGGGCTATTTTTATCGAGCGGTGTTATTGCAGTGCGAAATAAAAAAAACTGTTTAGTAATAGTCACCGAGGTAGACTAAGCTGCAGTGAGCCACTCGGTGTCACGAGTGTACGGTGTCACGAGTGTACGTCAGTTGCCCACATTCTTCATTTCAAGCCTTCCCAGAAGACTCGACCACCTATTGAATGTGTCACCCTCCCCTCCCCCACGGGTTTATTTCGCTACCAAACAGGTACCCACCCTACCCTCAGCGTGGGAAACCTCTCGTTGTCGCTCCCAGAGAGACCGAGCGTTTCTCCTGTTCTCGATCTCGCCTCGCTTCGTCCGCACAGTACACGTAAAACAGCGAGCGAGATCACTTCACGAACGCGCGCGCAGTGTCGTCTGCAGTGTCGCGGCCCAGCCGTTATTGACGTGGCGTGCAGGTGCGCGTGGGCGCCTCGCAGCAGCAGCACTCCCACAGACAATCAGTCCACGCAGGCAGAATACAGCCGACCCAGCCGTGTGCGTAGGCGGGACACGCGCTGCCTGTCATTGTAGATGTGCGGCGAAGCGTGTAACGTCGGCGTGTAGGTGTCTCGTATACATGCGACGAGCTGTTTAGTGAGCGAGCGAGATCAGGTCGTCGCCGTGTATGTGGAACATAGCGGTGCAGCGTGTGGGCGGAACATACAGGGTCGTCGTGTGGGTGGAAGATACAGGATCGCTGTATTAGGTGGAACATATACGATCACTGCACGCAGGCAGAACATATTTCAGTGTGTGGGTGGAACATACATGATCATTGTATTTAGGCAGAACATTCAAGGTCGCTGCATGCAGGCGATCATACAGGGTCAGGGTGTAGGTGGAACATATAAGATCAGTGTGTAGGTGGAACATATATGATCAATGTGTAGGTGGAACATATAAGATCAGTGTGTAGGTGGAACATATAAGATCATTGTGTAGGTGGAACATATAAGATCAGTGTGTAGGTGGAACATATAAGATCAATGTGTAGGTGGAACATGATCATTGTATTTAGGTGGAACA